TTCAAGACTAGCCTGGGCAACATAGCGAGACCCCATCTCTACAAAAAATTTAAAAATTACTTGAGTGTGGTGGCACATGCCTATAGGCCTAGCTACTCAGGAGGTTAAGGCGAAAGGACTGCTTGATCCCAGGAGTTCAGGGTTGCAGCGAGCTATGGTCAAACCACTGCACTCCAGCCTGGGCAACAGAGTGAGACCTTGTCTGGTCAAAAAAAAAAAGGAATGCTCTGAGAAATTATTTGTTCTTTTAAGTAAGAAAATACTGTAAGATTTCCATGTTATCAAAACTAAAAAAACTAAGTAAAGGTAAGCCTATGGTTGTAATTTTGGAGTATCTGACAAGAGAAATGATTTAGAGGACTGTTTTTATGACTATAACAAGCTTAGATTTTCTTCTCTCGTTTTTAGTAAAAACAGCATTAAAAGAATATTTTGGAAAAAAAACATGCCACAGTCTTTAACTATACAAGTTTGCATAATTTATTTGTATTTGATGTGCTTTCTGTTTTTTCTTTCTTTTCTTTTTTTTTTTTTTAGCCTCTTTGCAATCATAGTGTACATTAGAAGTTCCCAAACTTTCTCATTCATGTGCCCTTAGTGACTCAGTAATTTTATCATGGTACTGCTAAGCTGAAAGAAGTACCAAACAATTCTATTTATTAAGTAATTAAGTCCAAAGACATAGTAAGATTTAAATCTTAAATTAATAACATTTAATAACTTAATAGCCATTTGGAAAAAATAATACAGATAAATTGAAGAAAAAATCTTTTTCTGTTTAGGGTCTGTGGCCCAGTCAGAGTCAGGGGTCACATATGATCTTTTTATTTTTAAATAACCAAAATTATTTACTAATGGGATGTGTGTACCTGTTGGGCACTGCATGACTTCTCAAACCTTGGAGTCAGATTGGACACTGCCAGTCTCATTTCCATATTGATTGTCACACAATACTTGTTTTTTTTTTGTTTGTTTGTACAGTGGGGGGTTGAATACCAACTTTAGTGACACTAATGTTAATAAGTTCTGATAACCCATACCATCGGACCAGCCAATACTTGTTTTTTTAATCATTGTGTCCTCCCAAAACCCAGCTTTACAAATACGATTTTATCAAAAGGAATATACCACATCCTACTAAGAGCTAGTAATCCGAGAGATAATTGAGTATTGCACTGTTTCCCTAAAAAATTTAAAATATCTCACCACACCCCTTTGCTAGGATGTCTTTGCATGTAGTTTGGGAACCACAGTATGCATACAATTTTGAATTCTGATTTGTTTGCTTGGCATGTTATAAATATCTTTTCCTGTTTCTACATAGTTACAATATTAATGAATTTTAATAGCTACATAATATTCATTGGAGTCAGTGAGTCATAATTTTCTTAACCATTCTTAATTTTGAACATTTTAGGTTATTTGCAATCTGCATTTTTCTATTAATAAATAAGAATCAGTGAATATTTAGATATTTTTTTTCCTTCCCTCCTTTTCTTTTTTTAGATGTGTGTTTTTGGACTTGTAATTGCCAAGAGTGGTATTACTAATGAAAGAAAATGAACTTTTTTATGGCACTTAGTACATTTCTCTATTACCTTCTAAAGAAAACTTAGCTCAATCGGTAATGCCACCAATATCATGGGAATGTTTCACCACGGTCTTGCCAGCTTTAGGTACAAGTTTAGTTGGCAAAAACAGAATCCCATGCTTACTTGATTTGCATTTTTTATTACTAATGTATTTATTGATTCCTTTATTGACAATATACTATATGCTACTGTATTAGTTTCCTGTGGCTGCTATAACAAATTAGCATAAACTTGGTGACTTAAAACAACAGAATTTTTTTAAACTCCTGGAGACCAGAAGTCCAAAAACAAAGTGTTACTAGGGCTATACTCCTTCCAGAAACTCTAGAAAAGAATCCATTTCTTGACTCTTCTAGCTTCTGGTGGTTGTTGGCATGCCTTGGCTTATGGCCATGTTTCTCCCTGTTCCATCTGCACATAAGCCACCGCTGGATGATCTAGGATAAGCTTCTTCAGTCAAAATCTTTAACTTAAACACATCTTTTGCCATATAAGGTAATATTTATATGAATAGTAAGATGTCTTTTACAGGGTCACCATTAGTCTACTACAGCCACTTACAATGATGTACAATCTTTGCAGGAGGAGATTACAAAATAATTACCGTGAAATTCT